AATCGAAAACGATTGTGTGTTAGCTCGATAGCGTCACGGGAAGTCGGTCAATTAGCCGTCCGAAGATTTTGCCAACCTGTCACAAACCAAAGCGAATTTGTTATAGAAGATTTTAAAATGACAATTTGGCAAGTTGTTTTCGATAAATTATATTTTCTTTTTATTGTTGTATGTCAGGCCTCCGGGGTGGACCGTAAAGGGGAGATGGGGGGGGGGTGGCACGTGACTTTTACCCGGCATAGAGTAAAGCTGTTTTGGAACATCGCAACAAACGAAACAGGGTTACTATTGAAAAGTATTTCTCAGTCAAAACAAACATTAGGTTTACCACTTCCGAAACAAAGCGTGACAACATTCACGTGAACGGCATGGGTTAACCATCAAACCATTGAAACTTTGTTTGGCTGAACAAACACCGCGGGACACTCCAATTGTTCCAGTCACCTGTAGGAAAAATGCATACGCACGTGCGTACAAGCGCCAACATCACTCGCCATTATGAAATCTATTAACACTGACCAATCGATAGTTGCACGCATTCGTGACCAAGGCTTGGTGGTGTTTCTCAATGGGGCGACGCTCGTCACCCCCATTGTTTCGAAAACAAGAAGGATGGTTTACTATCAACAGGAATGTCCTTGGGCGAGTTGAGCTTCAGGTAAATATGTCTTATTTAGCAACACGGAAGTCCTCAAACCCAATGAACTTTAGAATATTATTGTTGCGTCTGTTGTCGGGCGGTCCGAGCTAGGGGCGTATCCCATTCAATGCCAGTGGCGTAACTAAAGCAAGAATACGCGTGTGGCCACTTTAAGCCTCTAAACATTTTCTGATCTTTCAAATGGCCGATCAGTCGGACAATAGCACGCGTCACTAATTGATCAAAGAAATCGGTCACTGGCACATCTTCTTTGAACGTTATGGTCAACACTCGGCTGTATCAATATTTCATTCATTGTTTAACACCGCATCAGCCTTTTTTATTTTTTGTCAGTTTTTCTAATGAACTCTTCAGTGTGCATTTACAATACAATTAAATGAAAAGGGTCTGCCTTTTGTTCGTGTGCAAATTTAATCAGGTGTGACGAACTCCTTGTGGTGATCGGGCTTTATCAAATGACTCTATGTTTTCTCATTATGGTTTTTTTAAAATTGATTTAATCTATATGGGTTTTAACATTTTAGTTTGCCGTTAACCTTCAGGCAAGCCAGAAAATAAAACTGAGGGTAATTTGGCACATCCAGTAGGACAATGCATCCAGTAGGAACATACACCCATGGGATTATACTTCCTGTAGGACGCTACTTCCTGTGGGACAATACATCCTGTAGGACTATACATTGAGTAGGACTTTACATCCAGTAGGTATATCCGACCTCTAGGACTATACATTCAGTAGGACTATACATCCAGGAGGATTATGCGACCTGTCGGCCTATGCATCCAGTAGGACTATGCATCCAGTAGGACTATGCATCCAGTAGGACTATGCATCCAGTAGGACTATGCATCCAGTAGGACTATGCATCCAGTAGAACTATATTTGTACACAAGCGCGTTGCATTTTGCAACAAATCAATCCACGATACAAAATCGAATGGATCATTTTAAAAAGAGGTTTATAAAGAAATAACTGGCTGATTTGTATAAGAATCTGCAGCAATGAGCGGCGATGTCTCTTGTTAAAGGAATCGTTGTTTCTGTTGAGTCACGAAGTACTGCAAGGCACATAACGCTAACATCATGCAATTGAAACAGTCCTTGTAAAGCCTTTACATCTATTTGATGTTACATCAAAAGAATATTCTAACCACGAGAACTATGACATTATACAAGATAATTTATTAAATTATTAAAATTTTCTCTAATACTGGTACAATTACAATGCCTGAAGCGCGGGATAACGCAAATATAACAACAATATTATATTTGCCCTTGGATTTGTCCAAATTTTTTTTTGGTTGAAAATAATAACATTTCTCCGAGATTTACTTGATAAGCCATTCGATAAAAGTGACAATAACACAATAATTACACAATTACACCATCGCCCCACGATGATGGAAGGAGGCCAACAGCATGCCCATTTCGTCCCCCTAGAATAACAAGGTTCTATGTTCCTATTTAATCCAATCAACTTAGAACCTTGTTATTCTAAGGGGACGATTTGTCAATCCCCCATAAGTGTATACAATTGTAAACATTAAAAAAAAAGAAAATGAATAGCTAATATTATATACTTCAACTATAGCTCCGTTAACTACAGCCCCATAATCTACTCAATTTCAGTAACTAATTCCACATTTCTCTGTGTTCATGCATGTAAAATTTTCTCCAATTGTTTCAGTAAAATGTGATGCTTTATATAACAAAACAATAATGACCGTCTGCGATGAATTAAACAAAGCATTTCTTTATTTGGTGAAACAAAGTCAAAACCCTTTTAACCGAAGGCCTTTCACTACGCAAAAAATCAATCAACCAATCAAAATCAAATCATTCAACGAATCATAGGCTTATAAAGTACGAGGATCCCGGATTGAGTACATACATTCTACCATGTTTATTTGTTGTTAGGCGTTGTTAGATGGTAATGCAAGATATGTGAGACCAATCCTAAGAAACTAAGATGCATTTCGGTGATTGTTGAACAGAAAAACAATGTCAGTAACGTGAACTGCTATTTAAATATAATTCGCTTAAAAAACACCAACAACAACAAAAAATAATTTAGATTACCACATATGTTCTTTAGGGATGTATTGGAAACAACCCATGTGTACCAGTTGGCGACTTCTAAGCTGAGTTTTAATATATTTCAAGTTGGCCAATGAAAGTGGCATACTGACATCAAATTTGAAAAGGCATAAAACTTGCCCGAATATCAATAACTCTACGTTAGTTCTTCAAGATTGCGCAGACTTTCAGGAGTCGCAAAGTTTCCTGCGCTGCACAGTCCAATGTACTTTAAACCAAAGCTGCAACGGAGTCATGCGAGACTGTTCCAAGACCTCCTACTTTTACACCTTGTCATTTATGCGTCCTGATAGTTAATATTACAGACGATTCAAAAAAAAAATATATATTTAATACATACGATATTAGGATATGTGTTGGTCAAAAATAATGTGTACCAATTGGCGACTTCTAATTTGCATTGTAATATATTTCGTGTTCGCAAACGCAATTGGCATATTAAAATCAAACTTAACAAGGCACACAGCTTGTCCGAACATCAATGACTTTACGTTAGTTCTTCAAAATTGCGCAGAATTTCAGAAGTCGCAAAGTTTTCTCCATTGCATTTCCCAATGTACCGCAAACAAAACCTGCAACGGAGTCGTGCGAGACAGTTCCAAGACGTGCTACTTTTACAAGCCGTGTGCTTACTTGGATTTCGTCGACTCGTGCAGTAAGATTCCATTCTGGGTGTACAAGAAACCTGACCCGTGTGGTGCTGGAGCCGTATTCAATGCAACGCTTGTCGCGTGCATTTGTAAACCAGGATGGACAGGCTTCGACTGCAGCACGGCGCCAACCAGTTGCAATGACCTCTTGACCCCCAAACAATATCCCGTGGGGTATTACTGGGTGGACATTAAGAACAACGATGGGACAATATCCATATTATACTGTGAAGTTATCATAACTGGCTACAGATATCACGTGTTTCGTAACAATGGACTTGTCTCTCATAACAAAACATATGCTGACTACGTTAAAGGATACAAAATCGACGAAAGCAACTTCTGGATAGGGCTGAATAACATTTACAGATATTCCTTAATTTACCGAAACCTTCAATTTAAGATGGATGCTGTTTTAGAAAATGATGTAGTAATGGCATATTGGCAAAATACAGGTGTTAGAACTGATGGTCCCACGAACTTGTACAACCTAAATTTTTCGGGGACATTTAGTTCATTTTCTGCGCCTGTGTACTCTGTCTCCATTACCAACTGTCTGTTCAGTGGCCTGACGCCGTTTTCTACCTGGGATAACGACCACGATGGTTCTCCGTCAAATCTAGCAGCTCAGGCAGGGTCCGGCTGGTACTTCGGGTCCTCGTTGTCTTGTAACCCTCTAGGTCAGCTGCCAAGCTCAGGTGCAACTGCGGGCTACATGACCTTGCCTAACCTAGATATGGTTAACGGTGCATACCTTAGTAATTTTAAATATGTTATGGGCTACTTTTACTAAGGTTGTGTCATGTTTATTTGGCTGTAAAGCCCTATGGAAATATCCCATTTTTAAGAATCCCTTACATAATATTAGACGAAGGGATTGTCTTGATACCAGCATAATTTTGCACTTAACAATCATAAATTACACGATGCCATACCTCTGCTGTGTTTTAAAGCCATTACAGATTAGAAAAAGTTTGTGCGCTGATATGTTTTCTCAAGTTTTGTTAATGCAGCTATAGTTACCTTTAATATTTCTCTTTTTTTCTTATTGTTGGTTTGAGGGTAAAGGGACACGTCTCATATCAGACACAATTATGTAAGTGTCTTAATGATTGGAGAAAATTTATGAACATGTTTTTGTAGGTAGTGTCATGTATGAATGTAAGTTGTAAGCGGTGAGATGGTTGCATGTATGTTAGATGATTTTGTTTACCATATCTGTTCATAAATCGTTTAGAAATAGTTTTGACATGAACGAGTTAAAAGAACAATAGAAACTTTGAACACTTAGCACCCATCCTGAATGAAACGTTAAGTTCAGAAGGTTGACTCAAGAATGAACAACTCTGAAATAAATTGATACTTTAGACAAAGTTGATAGATTGTCGTTTTGTATCAGCCATGTTGCATATATTATATACAAATATAATTTGATGAAGGTTAAACAATTTATACGAACATGATCACGTGCTATGTATATTTATTCCACCATGTTTACTAAATAGAATTTCACAAATGTATATCCAAAACAAATATATATATATATATATATATATATATATATATGTATATATATTTAAAATAAAAACAAGAAAATATTTCTTATTGCAACTCTTGAGTTTAAATCTTTTGATTCCCTGCATTCATTCCATGAACATGCTTATCATAGTATAGTCGCATTTGGGAGGAAAAAGGAAGTATATTCACGTGCAGAGGCAGGATGTTCAAAGCCTAAAGGAACAAGCAAATGGAACAACTTAGAATGTTTGATCGATGATAGCAATGCAGCATTTTGTACAATTAGAATGTCTGATCGATGAGACAATTTTAAAAAAAATTAAGCTCTTCGGCAAATGCGTTCGTCGGTACAAGAAAAAAGTCATCAACACGAGGTACGTTAGGAATGTCTGGGGCTTATATGTTGACATTCGATCAGGAACATAATAAAGTAAATTTGCAAACATGAAACAGTCATTTGAAAATCATATTTATTTATTAACATAAATTCGACATTTTGACTCGTCTGTAGGTACTAAAGGAACGCTCCAAGGTGCATGTTGTTGTTGTTCAATAAAGTGCACTTAAATTAGATTGGCCAATAGATGGGAAAACGTCTGTACTTGGCAGAAAGTCGATATGCTGCAAGCAGTATTTCTTTTAGGCAGCTCTTGGGGGAAGCCGCGCCCCCCCCCTTCCCGGTGTTAGTCAAGGGCCCCCCCCCCCCCCGGAAAAAAAATTTGTACAATAATAAAAGAAAAATATATTAATTTAAAAAAGAAAAACTACCATATTGTCAATTATATTTAAACAAATTTCAATAGTAGCTGATGCCATTAATCGACTACAATTAGTGGGATTTATGAAATACCGCTACGATTCATTCATTTTATTGTCAATTATTATCCGTATATTTAAGGCTAATCTTGTCAGAGGCTTACAGTATTAGATTATACATTTTGAATTGTTAAAAAAATTGGTCATAACCCAATTAAGAGCCAAAGTATTGCTTCCTATTGTTCGCATGTATCGGTATTTTTATCTTGTTATTTTTTGCAACTTGACAAGCTTAAAGCCTTTAGTAACACGGTATTAACCCACCATTACAGCTATATCAAGATCTATAATTTTAATACAGCTCCTGCTAGGCATCAAGCATGTTTGCAATTGCTTTTCAAACTATATTTTATCACAAAAGCATGACTTTCAAAGTAGGGATAGGTATTAGTTATAAATTGCATGATGGCCTCATGCCTAAAAAAAAGTTATTTTTAAATAACATAATCTTAAATGTTCTAGTCTTCATTTCTGTTAAGTTAAAAAAAACAAACAACTTAACTTTAAAAAAAATAAGAATATATTTTAAAATAATAAATGAAATAATTTAACGTACGCACAAAAATAGTGCAGGCTTCATCAATCATTTTATCGAAAGCTTAAAAATAGCATTTGAAATAGCATTTAGATTATAATGCCGAATCAATTTGCTGTTACTAATTTTAGAAATAAATCTTCTTCCTCAAATTGTCAATTTTAAATTAAATTCTATTTGATCTGATGAAAAAAAAGTGTGTTAAAGGATATCAAAGAGCAAATTAATAATTTATCTTTGAAAAGTTGTAATCTTTTGAAATTCCTAATAATCATTGCATTCAATTGAATTTTGGAACATCATACTTTACTTTTGTACTATTTAAATAAATATAATAACATTCTAAAATTGAATTAGAAAATAACTTGTCAATGTCGATCTGGATTCCTAATGATGCTCAAGAATGATGTTGCATCCTACTGAGCATCTTTGTGCTGCTCACGTTTCCAGATGAGGACGAGCCCCCCGAGGAAAGTCAATGTACTTAAATTCTGATGGATCTTGCTGTAAATGCCACGTGCTGCCCGCAATGAATGGGTTGCAGGAAAAGAATGACACGAATGGAGAACATTGATCAAGCCAAAAACACATCTTTTTGGCCCGGTCTATCCTCACTGAAATTGTAACGATCTATCGGTCGGTATGAGTTTGGGAAAAAAAAAACGATATTGTAAAACATCTGAGAGTTGAAATCTTGATTGAATATATCGACACAAATCCAAATTATTACAGGACCTTTACAAAGCCAAAATTATTTTGTATTGGTATTTCAGTGTTAAATATGAATGATGCTGTTTGTAATGAATCACAGCTCTGAGAACCACTGGCGGCAGCTTCAAACTCCAACGAGTGTGCAATGGTCCGGTCACTACTTTTACTTTTTTCTTCAATTTGTTGGTACTCTATTTTAAGTATCGTTGATGGGGGACACAGTTCTTAAACTAAAACATGACTTACACTAATCATCATCGAATGACTTATTTAGTCATTTGTGACATGTACAAAGAAATCTAATTTTCTATAAACAATTTTTATTCATAGGGACAAAGTGCAAATATTAATATTTTTAGTATTGATTTATCCTTTTCCAGGGTGGGTCATGAGACCCACATTGACCCATACTGCCAACAGCATGCAGAGATTAACTTGATGCGCCAGTCCTAACTAACGCACATATTCTGGTGAAGGTCTGAGATTACTCTCTTATGACCCCGGCTAGTAAATTGGCTATCAACTCCATCTGTTGAGCTGAGCCATACAACATTTCCCTCACGAAGGATCCTCCAACCGCCCTGGCTTCCCCCGGGAGATCTAGTGCGGGACACTCCGTCAACAGATGTTCTAAGGTCTCTGGGGCCAGGCTGCAATGCCGGCAGGTAGGATCTCTGTTGTTGTCCAACCTCCAGAAATATGTGCGCAGGGGGCAGTGCTCGGTGCGCATCTGCGTTACTAGACTCTGAAATCTACGACCTAACCCCCACCATGGGTCTTGTTTGCTAGGAGTAGGCAAGTTCGAATAGACGCCTCTGGCGGTCGTGTTGTCAGCCCATTGCCTGTACCACTTCTGCCTGAAGTGGTCCGCCAGCCAGTTTTTGACTCCCAAGAAAGTCATTGGTACTTCTGGCTGAGGCTGGGCAGCCCCGGTTTTCGCCAGAGTGTCAGCTATCTCATTGCCACTGATGTTGACATGCCCTGGTATCCATTGCATTTCAACCTTGCACCCTATTTCACCAAGTCTGCATATGTCGTTGTGAATGACGTCGACCAAGCTTGTGGTACCCTGTCTCTTCTCCAAGATCTCAAGAGCAGATCTTGAGTCTGAGAAGACAACAATATCAAGCCCCGCATGCTCCGTCCCTTCCAGAGTGATATGGACTCTCTCCAAGGCCTTGTGCATAGCTATAAGCTCCGCGTCAAAGTTCCCACATACTAACACGTTTACAGAGTCTAGCATCCCGTGTCTATGCAGAATCTCAGTGCGGTTTCCGGTCTGGGCGGTCTACCATAGACATGGTGTTCTCCATACGACAGCTCCAGGAAAAGTGCAGAGAGCAGCAGATGCCACTGTACATTGCCTTTGTGGACCTTGCAAAAGCCTTTGATTACGTCAGTCGCAACAGGCTATTCAAAATACTGGAAAGAAATCGGCTGTCCCCCTCACCTACTTGCCATCATCAGAGAGTTCCATGAAAATATGCAGGGTACAATGCAGTTCGATGGAGCCAAGTCAGAAGCCTTTCCAGTCAGCAGCGGAGTTAAACAAGGGTGTGTCTGGGTTGTAGTCGCTGTGCATGTTACAGCTTCTTGGAACCACAGGTGAGAGCTGAATACAGAGACTTCCGGCTGTTTCCGAACAAGATGGCTTCTTCCTATTCAGCCTAACAGTAGATCTATATTGTAGTTTTAATTTAAAGGAGAAATACTTTGATAACAGCATAAATTCTGATCCTGAATGGAACCGCAAAACAATCAAAATTAATTAAAAATTCGAATTTTCTTGCGTCGAAGCTAATTTCCAATAATCATCTTTAACTATCACCCTTGCTTTACTGAAGCGTCTACACACTGAGGTTCTTTCCTATTGTGTATTACTATACCACCATCTTGTTGTAGCCTTTCAGATAGGACGGCGCCAGGTCATGTAAGCAGCGGTAGCACAAAGTTGCGATTTTGTACTCTATGCGAGCACGCTAGGGCAGCCAATGCAACTCTCTCAGAAGTGTTTTTGCATGGTCTAATTTGCGTTTACGGAGAACTATGCGAGCCGCATTATTCTGTGCTATTTGAATTTTATCCAGGAGCGTAGCTGCAAGACCCAC